TGAAATTTTACGAGTACGCTAGACACCAGTAGAGCGGTGTAGGTGGCTTCGACGAGGGCAATATCGTCGGTGAAGCCCTCGGGTGCAGCTAATAGATTATAATGCTTGGAGCGAGGGGGTCGTCTGTACGTCCTTCCCCCTTCATCCAAGATGATCAACCCTGCCCTAATAGTCTGTTTTAGTAATAGTCTGTTATTATTAATAGTACTTGTAACGCGTTGAGGAAGCCTATTTGTCAAACATAAAGTTTACGAATGGTACATGTACAGGACAGTATACTGTTTGCAGTCGCATGAGACAGTACTGACGCGTACACAATCATCATCAGTTCCTGACTCCGGGAATTCACAATGAAGAGTACTGGCGCAGACACACCGCTGCAGATTCATCAATGCAGACTATACATGATGTTACATGTGCAGGTATGATACACAAGTTGCATCATACCTGTGCAAAGGATGAAGAAGTGTATTTGTTCTAATAAGCGGTTGTTGAAAGAGGTCGACGGAAAACTAAATGTAAGAGCAACAAAAGCGAGCTTGGTAGGGCACAAATCGCAAATGTTTATAGGGAGACAAAGCTCACACCTTGCAGTATTCCTTTTCAAAAGCATAAAAAAAAAAAAACGAATAACTGTTGGACGTTGAGTTGATGTTATGCATTGCACCAGCAGATTGGAACGATCGCCCGTCGATGAAATTAATGCCCAACCATGATGGACCGAACCAAAACAAAACAATAACCGTTTGCTTTATCAAGGCGAGCATATCGAAGGTTACTATAATGGAATTTGGGTTTTGGTTGTAGAGCTAGGAAGGTTACTCCTCAGTGATCTATATAAACTGTGAAGTACCCTTATTTACAAGGGACAACAATGAAGCTCAGCGAGATCTCATCCTATACTAACCGCGAAATTGAGCGCAAGTATCTAAACGGCATTGATCGTGATACTTTTGCTAAATAAACCCGAAATAAATGTTGCCGAAATTGACGCGATGGCTACGAATTAGTTTAATGTGCCTCTATCCATCTTGGAGCATTGCCATTTTAGTAGCTCAAAAAACTGCAAGTACAAAATGAATAGCGTATGTTGGTCGTCCCGGACTAACAGTTTGCCTTACCGTATATACCATGCATTGGTAGTGTGAAGAGGGACCTCAACAACACCAGATTTTTCATTGCGCTACGAAATTGACTCAAATCATTTAGTTTGTTGTGGATCAATTTGGCACACAAAACGTGCTATGGACATCAAGATAACAGCCCCTAAAATCAGGGACAGAGATCTCGATGCGATGAAACAAACAATGGAATTAAAATATAGGAAACGGAACACCATTGCCTCTACAACTCTAGTCAAAAGTGTTTCTGTAACAGTGGGAAACGTACTCAGGAATTAAAAAACATACTGGTGAATCGCTACTGGGCTGAAGGTAACTTCTCCTAATTATCGTAACAATTGTATCATTTCGATTATCGTGTGTGCTTCAACACAGCTACCCACCACCTCATTATACACTCATATAATCGATAAGGTCGTATCCGTATATGACCCTAATCCGTTCAGTCAACCTTGAAAACCGTTTATAATATCGAACTAGACTTCAACAAAATGAAGCTTGATGGCACAATGCCCGTTATTAGTAATAACCACGTGCATACCACGTGTACGATGCATTTGGTGGAGCAAGGTATTAATTGTCAGGATGATATCGTAATACATGTGGATGGGATTTGTTCGTGGTGATTGCGAACAAAATCCCGTCCCGTGCAAGGGGGACTAATCCATCCGGTCGGCGCATCTACATGTAGCCTATCCTCATCGTCATGTACACACCGTATACTACAATAGATACAGCAATCGACATCTTGAAGGCAACTGGGGACAACTGTTGACTCCTCAATTTGGAGTCAGACCAGTCAAGCAACTTACTCATGCGAATCGGCTTTGCTCTAGTATTAGTGACGATCGCCATCACCACAAGCTTCGTCGAAGTCAACGCTGACGAGAACGCAAAGGAAGACTATCTTTCAGCAACCAAGAGTATCAGCGTTGATAGCACTCCGTATTATCTCAAGGATGCACAAAAGAAAATCGACAAAGAGGTCAAATTAGTCTTCAGCGAGGATGAAGAGAGAGTTGGAGTACCAGGCTTCAGCAGATTGAAATCTCTTTTGCGTAAGCACCCGAAGCAGGTTCGGGGGAACCTGGGCCGGACGAAGAATCTTGACAAGATACAAGCGTCTCAGGGTATTCAAAAGCTGAAGTCGATTTTGGGGTTTTCGAATAAAGGTCAAAACAAAATCACGCCTGAGAAGGTAAAAAAAGGTGGAGACGTATGCTCGGGACAACCCCGACAAGTGGGAAGCTATGTCGGATTACATCAGTTTGGCGTATTGGGCCGTGGTTGGGGGTGTCTCCATATATGTCGCCTCTCTTCTTCTCGTGGCTGCGATCCAGGAGTCGACTCCCTAACAAAGCTACATTTTCCGGGTAGTGCTTCGCTAACAAGCCAATTGGAAATTGTTGAGTAGCGGACACCAAACAAATGAATACTATTTTCACCATTTTCAGGCTTTCACTTTATTTTTAACGAAGACTAACTTATCCGTACCACTTTACGTGA